TGTAGGATTGTTTTGATTGTTTGCCGGTTGTGTTTGATTTTATAAGCTGTTCTGAGTGTTCTGGTGTGATTAGCTTTCAAGGAGAGGTCACCTTTCTGACTGATATTGATAATTAACAGTCATGCAATATCAACCTCGAATTAATTTGATCGTGTTAGCTGGAGTTATTGCAGCCTGGTAGAGTTGATGTAGCTGATCCATAGTAATCTCTTTCAAATGGAAGCCGACTTGATGATGTAGTCATGCAGCAGTTAATTGATTACATATATTGTACTTGGACATCCCTTAGCATGTGATGTCCGTATCACGGCGATCTCGATATTATTTTCATTTTTGAAACTTGTAGTTGCTGATTCTTCAAACATTCTTTTCAAGAAATAAAATTTCTAAGAGGATAACAAATTCACGCAGGTCTGTCAAAACGACAATGCAAATTGCACTGTTACTTTCAACGAACTCTTTGATGATTTACTTTATTCTTGTTACTAAGAATGAAATGTTAAGACATTTAAATGATGAATAAGTTAACGCAAAAAAATTACCCAAAGAAGACGGCTGTAGGATTTCTCCTTTTCTGATAACAGTATATGCTGTTTTAACTTATAGTGTGTTTGAATCTCATTAAAATGAGAATAGAATTTTTGGAATAGTGATTGATGGGAGAATGTGAGGTGTAAAAGTGATGAAAATTTTTAGATTTGTGTGTAATATTATTTTATTTACTTTGAAATTTTGAGAATTTTTTTAAAATAATTTTTTATTTAAGAAATCTGATTATTCAATAAGTTTTAATAGTTTATTGTTAATATAGTATTAGATATCATATAAATTTTGAAGTTGGTGAATCTTGAAATAACATATAAATATTTTACGTACGATGACTATCATTAATTTGTTTGATGCACGTATTTCGTATTTTGTTTTGCTTCCATTGTAAATATTAAGACATAATGAAATATATAAATACAAAACATATGTAGGAAATCGAGATTAGAGAAATGTATCACGAGAGAAGAAACTACTCCTAAACTTGACTCGGACCTGCCATTGCTCGAGCACAAAAATTAGTCAAAAACATGCTTCTATCTCATTTTCTCCCGTCAACTTCCTTCTCATTTTCTCACGACGGCTTCTTTTGCCTATGTATGTGCATATGAATTGACCGATAGTCTTTCACATAACTTAGACAAAGTTAGAAAAGCATCATTGTCAGTCGCGTGCGTTTGAATTTCATTAAAATGAGAATAAAATTTTTGGAATAGTGATTGATGAGAGAATGTGTGGTAGAAAAGTAATGAAAAGTTTTAGATTCGTGTATAATATTATTTTATTTGGAGAATGTGTTGTTAAAATGAAAAAAGAATAAAAATAAGAATGAAATTAAAATGGGTGTCAAACAGGGGCTTAAGTGTGTGCTAAGCTTTTTTCTGTCATCAGCTTGGAATGCATTATTTGAATGGTTCGAATTATTGGATTTGTACGAGTCATTTGAAAGATACTGTCGACGTATGGACTAATTGATAATTTTCAGTGTACTTTTTCGATGATATCTAACATACAATTTCTGTATAAGGAGATGTGGAAGTTAACCTTATTAGCATTTATGACTTCTGCTATGAAGTTTAGATTTTGGGATTGAACTTTTTTGGTTGTCTGAGACTATGAAGGTTGAGAGAGAAGGATTAGAATTGAAACTGAAAGTGTATTTGAAAATGGATCAACTATCAAGTGAGATTATTTTAACATATGAATTTCAGATGTAGAAGTGTGCCTCACTTTGGTCAGAGACTGATGAGAGGAAGAAAAGATATCGCTAGGCCTTTAGCTCTTTTTTACTTCTTTGACTCCATTCATTTCTTTCCTTAGATATGTAGAATTCGTTGCAAGTTGCTTATATTCTTCCGGTATATGTGCTACTAGGGTTTCACAAATTATGCAGAGCGGCGAATAGTTGAGGCTGTGCAAGGAGAGGACAGGGCTGCCCTGAACATTGGAATTGGTTGGAGAGGACTTGTTGAGGAAATGGAGAGGTTCAAGGACAACATGGAATTCACAAAACTGAAAACTAATCAGGAAGGTGTTGATCCAGATAATGTATATTCCCAAGTGCCTTATGAGAAAGGGTTCCAGTTTTTATGGCGCATTGAAAGACAGGTATGCTTGTCCTTTTCCTCTGCTTCTTCTTCAGATTTGTTCTTATATATTTTCTAAGAATAGCTTAGTTGATGTTCGTTCTATTCAATGTGCAGATTGGACGGCCTGCATTTGATGTGTTCCTTAAAAAGTATATCGCTACGTTTAAGTTCCAATCCATTGACACTGACACGTTTATTGATTTCCTGAAAGCAAATGTTCCTGGAATTGAGGACCAGATTGATTTACAATTATGGGTCGAGGGTACTGGCATACCTCCAGATGCAATGGAGCCAGTTTCCAACATTTACTCAAAGATTGTATCACTGGCTAATGAGTTTCAGCTTGGTAGGATGCCGAAAGAGGATGAAGTTGCTGACTGGCACGGACAGGAATGGGAGCTCTACCTGGAAAACTTGCCTAAATCTGTTGAAGCTTCTCAAGTATTATTTTGATTATTGAATTCTTGCATCGTCAATTACTGGGATAATCTTTATTTTTCTCTTCCTTCCCTTTCAGTCGAAAATTCTTTGAGATATACCAATCCGTTTTGGCTTTCTTTTTAAATATTGCATCTGCTGGTGATTGGAACTTTTGCTGGTAGAATTACATGTCTTTACTTAGTTTGCAGAAGGTTGCTTGTTATCTTTGCGGAGCCCCATTCTGTTCTCTGGGTCTAATTCCTTTTCTCAACAAAATAAGTAAAAAAAGAAAAATGTATCTTCTTCTTGACCTGAGTGTTAAATAATCTTCTTTGATTTTCATTTCATTCCTTGACACGCACACACAAACATATGAAGGTCAAGCTTAACATCATGGTTTGGTATGCAGGTGTCAGCTTTGGATGCTCGGTACAGGCTTTCAGAATTGAAAGATTACGAGGTCAAGGTGGCTTTTCTTCAACTTGCTATTTCATCGAGGTGCAGAGATTACTATTGCGAGGTTGAGAAAACTCTGAAAGAAGTTGGAAGGATGAGGTATCTCCGCCCACTATATAGAGCACTCGTCCAAGGCACTGGAAAGGAAGAAGATAAATTTTTTGCAAAAAGGGTGTTCTCCGAGGCTTGTGATTTTTATCACCCAATAGCTCGGGGTGTTGTTGAGGCCATCCTTGCCAAATTCTCGTAAAACACTTCTGTATATCTAGTTCAAACTTATTACTCTTACCCTTGTTTGATTTGTGATTGCCCATTTTTGGGATCTATCTGGATCATGCATTTAGTTACTTGACCAGTTAATCTTGTTCGATGGATACTCGCTTGACATGCTACTTTTAAGATTGAGGGATTTTGGCTTATTCTTGGCAGAGTTATGTATGGGATATGTGTCCAGGGTACGTGCCACATCTTTATTGCTTGTCTCGACCCATAGGACAGTCGCAAGATGGGGCTGGACGAGCCTACGGCCGAATTTATGATTGGATTAAACTTTTAAATCAATTCAAAATTTATCTAATGTACTTCTGGCCTGTGTGGGCTGGCGCTCGACTCAGCTGCCAGCAGGCTGGTCCAGCACCGGACATTTCTTGGTAGTCTGGCTGGCTTGCTTTGCTCCTTTGAAAAGTTGGACAGCAGATCTCAAAATATCAAAGATTTGAAGAAAAAAAAAAGAGAGATTTCTATGTTGATGGTCATTTCACAGATGCCCGAATTTGATTCTCCAAATAACAAAGTGCCTAGTCAATGTTGGAGGAGAGGGTAAAGTACGCAAGATGAAGAAAATTACCCACAACTGTTCTCATTTTTTATACTCCCTCCGTCCCATTTATATATGTTTACTTCCCTTATTTTCTTGTTCCAATTATATAGTCTTGTTTCTTTATTAAAAATGTTTTATTTTGGTTGTTTACTAATATACTTTATTTCTTTACTACTTCTAATGATAATTTACTACTAGTTATTGATAATTAAATGAGGGTAAATTAGGAAAGTTTTTGACAAAAATTGTTTTTTCAATAATATTAAATAAGATTTCTTAATCCAGGTGAAAACAAAACAAGTCTACATAAATGGGACGGTGTGAGTAGTTCGTGTTGGAATCTGCAACAGAAGAAAAGACAAACTGCATATGTTCATAGGTAAGTGAAAAGTGTGCTGTAATGGAATTTGATAACTGGAAGAGTAATATAAAGCAAGACAAATGCCTTCTTTTTAAGGAGCTTGAGGTTTAAAACAATTGTCTGGTATTGAATACTAAAAGAATCTTTTTATTTTAATAATCGAATCCATCAAGTCTATATTCCGTTTTTAAGAAGAATTTATAAACAATTTAATTTATAAATAGATAAAAATGAGCGGTGAATAGTATTTGTGATTCCATTGAAAATGAAGTTTAACCATTTATAAATTAACTAAATGGAGACTAAGTACTTCTTTTTGAAAAAATACGTGTGAATACAAAATTATGCATGGTAACTTCTCGTGCTAAGCTTTGTTATGTAACTCTCTCGATTTGCACAGCTTGCGATAATCGGTATTATGGAGATATTCGTTGTTGCAGTTCTATAAAATTTTTGAAATTGGTTTAGTTCCTAAATTTTCAAGAGTAAAAGCACTTATCATGAAATGGCAATCGATTTCTACTAGTGTGAGAATCAATACATTTGATTTTAGCAAGCAATGACAGATAACCCTTATTCGAATTCATGAATCAAATCATAATTCCTAACCCATATCAACTAAACCAAACATCTAAACCTCTTTAATCAAGAGTAGGTTTTGCACAATACTAACTTCATAATCATCTACTCCACTTCTTACTATAGAATACTTTAAATCTATATAAACCCATTTACAGTCCAATCTTTATCCATCAAACTATCTTTATAATTCGTACTTCCCCCTTTCTTGTACTTGTTCAAAACATAAATGGCTAAACCAATTATTTGCTTATTTTTGCTAGCCGTCACTTTTGGATGTGCCAATGCAACAAGAATCCTTGATGAAGTAACCCCACAAATCCCACTCCCTACACCCAATGTGCCTCAACCATCTGATCAAACGGAGCCCGATAATCCCGATATAGCACCACCGCTCGTAGCGGCTCCTGTCACCGCCGCCGCCACCACCACGGTTAGCACTCCTGTCCCTACAGAACCAGCTGCACCTGTGATCCCCCCTGTGGTAGATGTGCCCGATACTAAGCCTACACCGGTAGTTGCTGCCCCTGCCAGCGCATCCCCTAGCGGGACCGCCACTAGTGCAACCATGGCAAATCCTATTCCAGATCACTCCGCATTGTCCTTCTTTATGCACGATATCCTCGGTGGCTCACACCCTTCCGGCAGGGTAGTAACCGGAATAGTGGCCAACTCCGATGCCAATAACCTCCCATTCTCCAAACCAAACAACCAAATCTTCCCCATCAACGGTGGCGTTCCACTAAACACCATCAACGGCGTAGTCAACAACAACAACTACCCCTTCCTCGTCGGCCTAAATGGCTCACCTACCAACACCAACTTCCAAAACAGCGGCAACAACAACATCGTCAACGGTGGAAACAACCAAGCATTCGTCACAGCCGGCCAGCTTCCGGCCGGCCTAACGCTCCAACAGCTCATGTTCGGCTCCGTCACCGTGGTCGACAATGAGATAACAGAAGGACACGAATTGGGTTCAGCAGTTCTTGGAAAAGCTCAAGGATTTTACTTGGCAAGTTCTTCAGATGGCAGTACCCACACACTTGCATTGACAGCATTATTTCATGGTGGTGATCATGAAATAGATGACAGTGACACCATTAGTTTCTTTGGCATCCACAGAACAGCTACTCCAATTTCTCACATTGCTATTGTCGGTGGAACTGGAAAGTATGAGAATGCAAAAGGGTATGCCACCATTGAAACTCTTCCCCATGTGGATCAGCATACTACTGATGGAGTCGAAACTATTACACATTTTACTGTTTATCTTACTCCCTAGAGGATATGCATTACACTATTTATCAAGTTATTCAAGTCGTGTGGGGTTAATTTATCTTCGATTATATGTGTAATCGATGATGATGATGATGTAAAATATCGTTTATTTCTCTCTTTTAATTAATGTTGCGAGTTCTTAATCATCTAGAGTGCCTCAAAACTTGAATGTGTCTTAACTGGACAAGAAGCAAGTTACCATTCCTTTTGCCATGATGTGTCAATGTGGCACTGTAAAATGGGGATACAGCCAGGCAAAATGGTTAGCAACTGAATCAACTTCATATAATTTGGGCAGTTGGTGGAAATTTATAAAGGAATGTAATTTACCACAAAAAATTTAAGTGCTTTACCAGAGATGTTTTCTTGGATCTGCTCCTATCCTGTGGTAGCCTGATAAGGGGTCATTTGGCTTGGCGCTGGACATAATATGTAACAGATGCTCGAAAGCAGAAGAAAACAATCTCCAAGACATATTAACATGCCCAGCAGTAAGTAATATGGGACGAGAGGGGGTATGCATTTAGGGATGGGTTATTAGAGATGGCAACGAGCAGAAAAGCTCGAGATGATCCTCCCATCCTCGTCTTATCAGGGATTTGAGAGTCGACACGGGGTGGGGCGAGGGCGTGGATGAAAAAAATCCGTCTACTATTTTCCAAGTCAGGGACATTTTTTTGTTTTTCCTTATATAGGACAATTTAGGAATTGAGCTAATAGGTTTGGACATAAAAAGTTGGACTAAAGTATTCTTAAACAGAATTTGTCTGAAACAGCATCATTGTCGACGTCTGGGCGAGGAATTCCCACTCGTTCGAAGGTAAGCATTGCAAGGCTTAAGTTTTTGGGTCAAATTGTCATTTCTAGATGAAAGTTATCTCTTGAAAATTTTTTATGCAACGGAAAGGGCTACTCGATCCATTGCCATTCATAGCAAAGATGATACATTTATTTTATTTGAAAGAAGTAAAATAATAGACGGTAAATTTGTGTCAATTATTAAAAAATGGTGGCCTATTTACAATCATAATATCTGCCATCATGAAAACTCAAAAAATTAGCTCCTTAGGTTACTGCATTCCCAAATGGTGCTAGCAGATACAGCTTCAGTACTTGCAGAACCCTCAATTAGGTAAAATCATTCATCTCTTTTTCGTCAAATTAAAAAAATGCATGTGTTTTTAAGTAAATATTTGGGACTAGAAATGTTTTATGTTTACAAATGTTTGAGCTTCTGTTAATTTTCTCGAGCAATTTTGATTAAATTATGGGTATTTAAATTACAAATTGGTATGATTCATTGATGTATTATCGCTTTTAACAGGAAAGTGAAAAAGGTTTCCAATGGGTTTTGATGCATTAAGTGTAAAATGTTGTTTTTCTTCCAGAAAACTGCAGAAAATACTTTTGGACTTAGAAAATTTTTAGTTATTCATGATTTTCCGGCTGTTATTTATCATTTTGTATTGCGAAGAGTAATAGCACATTCTGGTTCTGTAGTAAGGCTTTAAAATTTATTTTATATGTGAAAACTTGTTGAATATGCATCTGGTAATTTTTCCTAGATTTCGGGCATTTGGGCAATATGTTAGATCAACTGAAGTTAGAAATTCTGTTCTCCTGAATTCCTCTAATAAAGTTAGTGTTCTCCCACATTTCCCCCTTCATTTTTGTGTTTGGTTTCAAATGATATTGGGGTGACGAGGGGTACAGATTTGGTGTAAAATCTGGCAGTCAGAAAAGAGTATGGTTGTGCAGATAGTTTTATAATTTTTTTTTTTTTTCCTTTTTAACTTTTCTCAGGAAGAAGTGATTAGAGGATGGAGAGCACAGTGGATGCAGCAGGAGATCCAGTCCCAACTTCATCTGTCCTAATGGCAGCAGCGGAGCACATAGGGACTCGATGCCGCAATGAGAATGTTGTATTTCTCAAGTGAAAGAAGGATGATCCAAACCCTGAGAAGTTCCTCGATAAAGGCCACCAACTTACTCGCTGCGTGTTTAGCTTGTAAGTAAAAGTTATGAATATGTATGTGATATAAGCTGAAGTCTTTTTGTAAGTTATAAACTGTCTTAAGTTTGTATGTTTGTCTAATTATGAACTAATAAGAATTGACCTCAAAATGCATTTGTCACAATCTTAGGTTGATGTTTTCTGGGTTGGACTTTATTGAGCATCTTGTGGTAGCTACTGAAAATGAGGGTGATGGAGATAGATAGAGAGTTTAAATAGGATTTTAAAATAGAAATTAATTCGAATTATGAGTGATTAAATTATATTTAATTAATTTTAATAGTTTGATAAAGTTCTAGCTTATTAGAAGTCCTTTTAATTTTAGCTTAGTTGTTTTATGTAAAGAGGGCTATTAATTGTAATACGCATCCTTGAATATATGAATAAATTCTCTTTGCCTTAATTTCTTCTTCTTGGATCCCTTTCTCTTTCCTGTTCCCTTTTCAGTTGTTCGGTGTCAATTGTATGTTCCTGCATCACAGGGCTTTTCCTTTTGAAGAAAGCTTGGAACCGGGCTTTCCCAAGTTCCAAGCTTTCTTCAAAAACAACTCTAACTCTACCATGACGCTTAAATGTTTTGGATTGTACCGAAACTTTAATGACCATATTTGCCCCCGCTTTCCCCATATCCTTCTTTTGTAAATCAGTGTGACCCTTTCTCCTTGAGACAACAACTGGTAACCATCTTATAAACCATCCTCATATCCTATATTTGCTGCTTAACTGCTACCTACCATATTTGACGAAATTATGTCTGGCCTCTAGATATAAGGTTGAGTTCTCGCATACACATCAATTCTAGTGCTGGCACTTCTACGTGTACACAATACCTGAGTTGTACACTGGATCCTCCAACAAGATTATACACTTTTCAAATATTGTCAAAGATTTAGGGCATGTTTGGTACAAATTCTCATTTTCAACCACACATTCTTCAATAAAATAATATTTTCCATCACATCAATATTTTTTTCTTTTTTTTCAACCACTCATTTCCCATCATATCACTATTCAAAAATCAATTCTTCCCCCAAAAATCTCTACCAAACACACTCTTAGAAAGTATATACAAATGTTTAATTTATTATCTAAGTATTTTCGAGCAAATTTGAATGCACATTTTGATCCATAGATGAAAATGTTAGACGTGTTTTACCGTAGAAACAAAGGAAAAGTTGTTAAATATATATTTTTGTGTTTACCCATTTTGATCCAGGTAATATAGCATATATACTTGTATTCTCCTTTTAAATGTTACAGTTATATATATATATATTGCCATAGGGGAATACTGTAATATATTGAAATATTTGCATCATTACGTTAAATACAAAGTACTTTTTAACATATGGTATTAGATAGTACCGGACAGATTTTAGCTTCCTTTTCTTTCTCCATACCGTTTAGTGCAATCCATTTACCTTATTACACATGCCATTAGAAATCTTGCATGATAGTATGTTTAGATATTGGGTTTATTGTTTTATTTTTGTATATGCAGGCTGAGAGATCTCCACCAGAATTGCTGCAAAGAGATGGATGCATATGCTAAATGCCTGTATTACCACACAAATGACTTCGAATTTTGTCGTGAGGAGCAAAAGGAGTTTGAAAAGGTATTCCCCATTTGATTATTTAACTGCTATATTGTTCTACTAAACATCTGATCGATTTGCTTCCAAGATTCTTTGTTGATGCCATCTATTATCGAATATCAAGGATTTCAAATCTTCTTTTCTAACTCAACCTCTTTTAGTTGGGCTGTAAGGAGTGGAAGTCGTTCAAGTTATAGCGAAGTTTCATCCTAGTCTGCAAACTTTTAATTTGTATCAAAGTAGTCATCAAAATTTGCCTTTCGTTTTAGTTTTAACCACTCATTTGAGTTCTCTTAGTTTTTCTAATGGCATGTTAAACTTGAGAAACGACAACCTGATGTTGTATTAACATGAATTTTGTCGCAAGGAGCAAAAAGAGTTGGCAAAAAATGCCCCATTTGATTATTTGACTACTGGACTGTTCTGCTGAATGTACTTTTGATCCATCTGCTTCCAAGATTCTTTGTTGATGTCATCTATTCTCGAATATTAAGGATTTCAAATCTTCTTTTCTAACGATAACCTTTTTTAGTAGGGTTGTAAGTAGCTTAAGTCGTTCAAGTTATAGCAAATTTTCATTTATAGCAAGTTTTAATCACTCAATTGAATTCTCTTAGTTTTTCTAATGGTATGTCAAACTTGAGAGACGAGAACCTGATGTGGTATTAACACGAAGGTCTTTTACGTCGGACATTCCATTAGAAAAACTAGTGAATTTTGGGTTCAGTAAACTTATTAAAGGAACCTCTATTTATAATTATTAATACAATTTTATTAAGAAAGGAAATGGATTTAAGGTTCACCTCCAATTACAATGCAAACGATTCTTCCCTTCTGTGTAAACTCTGAAAATAACGTGGAACTTTAGTTTTCTACTATCAATGGACGGGGTAGGGGTCAATGCCAAACGTCCCCAATAGGAATAAATAAGAAAGAAAATTATAATCCAACTTAGGAATAATTGTTGGCATCTTACAACTTTTAATCAAATGTCATGTTCTCTGCCTCTTCCCGCAAGGAATCAAAGAGTACGGTCGAAAGATAACGTTCCCCGAAGCTCGGGAAAACGACCTGTATAGCAAGGAGGAATAACACACTTCACTCTGTATGAAAATAGAGATACCGGATGACATGTTTAATATCTGAATATAGGCAAGAAAATTTATCAGTAAGACGAAATAAAACCAACTTACAACAATGAGTTTTCCAGCATTTTCAACCCTCTTTGCTAATGTTATTGCTGCAGCTGCTGCAGCACCAGATGAAATACCCACCTGTAATTGTTTCAATTATCAATTATCAATTATAAGTAAAAAAGTAGTTACCAGCTACAAGAGTGATGATGTGATCTCCCACAAAAGCTGCTCAAGAAATCCATTAAATGAGTCTCGACTA